CCCTCCAGGCCAGCCCCAGGTCCGAGCACCCCCCGGGCCCTGCACCCACCTGCTGCCCAACGGGGCCGGGCGAGGGCCAGAACCGGGCAGTGCCCACGGGGAGGCCGGGAATGGTGTCTGCAGGCCCGTGCCCRGCACACAGAAACCACACCGCAAGCTGCAGTCGCACCACTCCATCAACAGCCAGAACAGCAAGAAGAGCAAGGGCAGCTCCAAGTCGGCCTCGTCCCACATCCCCATCGAGGCGCAGGAAGGTACTGGCTCTCCCCTTTCCAGCTGCTCTCCTCGGGCTCCTCATCCTTTGGGATCTCTCTTGGGTGGCATCCTCTGAGCCCAGYGGGACCCCTGGACCCTCCTGGTGGTGTCTGTGGGGTGGGTGTTGAGTGGGGCCATCTCCTGTCCTCCAAAGTTACCATCTCCTGTCCTCCAAATCTGTTTTTTCTTGAGGTTTGTGTGCGAGCAGGGCCATCTCCTGTCCTCCAAAGTTACTGTCTCCTGTCCTCCAAATTTACCATGTCCTGTACTCTAAATCTGGTTTTTCTTGAGGTTTGGGTGTGAGCAGGGCCATCTCCTGTCCTCCAAAGTTACTGTCTCCTGTCCTCCAAATTTACTGTCTCTTGTCCTCCAAATTTACCACGTCCTGTCCTCCAAAGTTGGTTTTTCTTGAGGTTTGGGTGTGAGCAGGGCCATCTCCTGTCCTTCAAAGTTGATTTTTCTTGGGGTTTGGGCATTGGGGAAGGCCCCATGGACAGTCCCTGCCTCCCAGTCCCTTTTCCTGTCTCTTTTGTGAATTCCCGAGGGAGGATTCGCACTGCCTCACCCCGCCCTTCCTCCCCAGACTGCTGCGTTCACTGCATCCTCTCCTGCCTCTTCTGCGAGTTCCTGACGCTCTGTAACATCGTKCTGGACTGCGCCACCTGCGGCTCCTGCACCTCGGAGGACTCGTGCATCTGCTGCTGCTGCTGCAACTCGGGCGAGTGCGCGGACTGCGACCTGCCCTGCGACATGGACTGCGGCATCATCGACGCGTGCTGCGAGTCCGCCGACTGCCTGGAGATCTGCATGGAGTGCTGCGGGCTCTGCTTCTCCTCCTGAGGGTCCCTCGGGTCCCCTCCCCAGGCTGTCCCGCCCGGGAAACTCCGGAACCTCGCGGAGGAGGAGGAGGAGGAGGAGGAGAGCGAGTCCCCCCCGGTGCAAATCTCATCCGTGGAGCCGGAGCCGGACCCTGCCCGGGGAAGGGTGAATCCAGAGGGCCGCGGGGGCTCTGGCAGCTGCCGGCCCCGCTCTACCTCTTCCCGCACCGGGGCACCGCGKGAGCCTCCTGCCGCCTGAGCCGAGAGCAGGAGCGCCCGTCCCGCAGAGCCACCGAACCTCCCGGCCTTGGGGACAGCCGGTCCCGCTGCCACCGCCCCAGGACAGCGYTCCGAGGGGTTCCGCGGGGGTGGCACGGAGCATTCCCCTCCAGGGACACCTCCAGGGACACCTCAGGGCACCGGGACCCCCGGAGATGCTGCGGAGTCCCGTGCTGGGGACRCGTCCTGCCAGGGTCCCCTCCCCCCCGGTGCTGAGCCCGGCAGCCAAGTGCAATACACGCAGCCTGTCCCCCTCCCGGGAAGAAGCTTTTCCTGCAGCCAGGGCTGCCCCAAGCTGTCACCCACCCCCGTGTGTCCCCCGGTGTCCCCAGGCTGGTGGGTGGCGGCTCGATTGGTGCCAAATGACCCCCAGCAGTTTTTGGCCCCGTGCCACCAYCCCGGGGACAGGGATTGTGGCTGGGTGGGGGTGACAGACACCCCGCTGATGGGCTGGGGTGACGGGGAGGGAAGCGTCACAGTATTTTATATATATATATTTTTTTTTTGTTGTTGTTCCTTTTTACTGTAAATAAAGGTCTTTCTTCATTTCTGACAGACGGCTGCCCCAGCACGTGCTTTGCAGGGCTCTCCCTGGGGACAGAGGCTCCGTGTCCCCTGTCTGTGCAGCCCATCGTGCTCCCAGCYGGCTTTGGGGACATGGGACAGGTCAGTGACAGCCCCCAAGGGTGCTGCTGCTTTTGTCCTTGTGCCGGGAGGGAAAACGCAGGAGGACTCTCTGTCCTTCACTCCTGGGAACGGCTCCTGGAGTGCCCCAGGATAACCCTGACCCCGCTGTCCCACTGTCCCCGGGATGTCACCTGCTCCCAGAGCACAAATTCCCCSAGGGAAGGAGAGAATGAATTGCGGGAATTCGCGGCAGAAGGGCTGGCTGGGGCTGCTGAGGTTGCAGCSCTGGGAATTCGGGTGGCTTTGGCCACTCCCGCTGCCGCCCTCACAGCCGTGGGACCTCCAGCCACGCCAGGACAAGAGGGTCGGGGAGAGGGGCCCCACACCGAGGGGAAGGGATCGGGAAGGGCTTGGGAAAGGATCGGGAAGGGCTGGGGATGGGTTTGGGGAGGGCTCGGGAAGGGCTTCGGGACGGGATCGGGATGGATTCGGGAAGGGCTTGAGAAGGGCTCGGGAAGGGATTGGGAAGGGCACGGGAAGGGATCGGGACAGATTTGGGAAGGGCTCAGGAAGGACTCGGGAACAGCTTGGGAAGGACTCCAAGAAGGGCTCGGGAAAGGCCTGGGGAGGGGTCAGGAAGAGCTTGGGAAGGGCTCGGGAAGGTCCCGGCTCCGGGAAGGGCTCAGGAAGGGCTCAGGAAGGACTCGAGAAGGGATCGGGAAGGGCTCGGGACAACTCCGGAAAAGAATCGGGAAGGGCTCGGGAAGGTCCCGGCTCCGGGAAGGGCTCGGGACAGCTCCGGGAAGGGATCAGGAAGGGTCCGAGAAAGGCCTGGGAAGGGCTCGAGAAGGACTCGGGAAAGGGTCAGGAAGGGCTCGAGAAGGGCTGGGGAAGGTCTCGGCTCCGGGAACGGCTCGGGAAGGGCTCAGGAAAGGCCTGGGATGGACTCTGGGATGGGCTCGGGAAGGGTTCAGGAAGGACTCGGGAAAGGCTCAGGAAGGGCTCGGCTGTCCCGGCTCAGCCGCCGCCTGGGCTGAAGCCGAACGAGGAGGGAAAAGCGCTTAAAATCCGCGGCCAAATGGGTCAGTTGGTCACGGCGACAAGGGCTGCTTTGGGATCTGGGCTCGCTGCCCTCCGGCGCTGCCGCTCAGCCGGGAATCCTATTTTTAGTGCTGGGCSAGAGGAGCCCGGCGCGGTGCGAGTGCACGGAGGGGATGAGGATGGCGCGGGCGGCCTTCCTCCACCCCGCACAGCGCACGGAGGGTTGGGGGGCGCCGCACCGGGGTTTTTCCCCTTCCTAAAGCCGGCGAGGGGGATGCCCATCCCTGCCCACCCCGGATCGGGGCCCCACCCGGCGCTCTCGGGGTCGCTCGGAGCTTTTCCAGCGGCTCCGGCGGAGGCTCCGCTCCAAACCGTTTGCATCCTTGGCACGGAGGGACGGAGGCGCTGCCCTTCCCCAGCCCGGCCTCGCCGCCGCTGCTGCTGCTGCTAATTAGGGAGCTCGGAGCTGGCAGGGAGTCGCTTAATGGGGAATAGATTCTTCCCCTGGTGTGCGCTGGCCGGACCCCGCGTGGTTGTGTTCGGAGTGGGGCGGGGGTCGCACGCCCCACAAACCCCCGTTCTGCTCCCTCTCAGTCCCCTAAAGCCGATCCCGAGGGTCCCCGTCCAGAACAGGAGATCAGGATCCCCGTGGAGCTGCTCGATTGGAGCGATGTTCATGCCTGTGGGTGTATTTCAGTGACAGCTGSCTTCAAAAAATGCAAATAAAATAGAAATAATCAGCACAGGGCTCCCCAAATCTCTGCCCTCTGCAAATCCAACCTCAGAGAGTGATTCCCATCATCAGGGCTGGAGGTTGGAAGGGTCAAAAACAGATTTGTTTCAGCCCCCACCCCAAACTCGAGGTGCATTCGCTGCCCTGAGCGGTGCTGGTGGCTCTGCTCATACCCCAGGAGTTCCTGAAAACCCCAGGCATGGTTTTGGGGTGTGGGATTGATGGGTTAGAGCAGGGAATGACAAAACAGAGCAACTCAAGCTCCTGGAATGGTTTGAAAACCGAGATAAACCCTTGCCCTGGATACAAGTTGGTGCTGGCCATCCAGCTTGCAAAACACCAGGCAAGGCAAGGGTTAAACCCTCCTGCCTGGGAATTAATTAACAACAGATGTGCTTGGTTTTAACTAATTACTCTCCTGCCAGCGCTTGGTTTTTATGGTTTTCTCGGAGCTGGAGCCTGATGCCCACGCAGATGTTGGCCCTGCTGGGCTTTCCTGGGTTCCCCTGCCCATCTTCCCCCACCAGGCTGGTGCTGAGTTTGATATTTTGAGTGAAGARTTGAGTGAAATGGGCTAAAATCCCTTAAAATCCCAATCAGCRAAATGAGCGGTGCTGGGGTTTGGGTGCAGCTCCCCGGGGTGGGCAGTGCCCAATCCCAGCTGGCTCTGGGGGTTTTCTTTTCCCACATTCCCTGCTGGAAATCGATAATTCCTGGGATTTTGGAGGTTTAATGATGGGAGCTGATTGTCTAATTGCTGTCGGGGTGCAGCCAGAGCAGAGCAGAGGGGCAGGGGGATGTTGGGATCTCTGCAGGTGTGGAATTCCTGGGGTGCCGAGCTCACCCCACTGCCCTGAGCTCCCCAGACACCCCCTTTTTCCACAGAGCAGCTCGGGGTGAGCCCCACATTCRGCTGCTCCTCCTGGCTGTCAGCAGCCCGAGCTATTCCTGTCCTTGATCAYGATCAATAAAGCGGGAGAGGAGTTTTATTTTCCACTCCAAATACTTTCTCCATCTCGTTTCCTCCCGGTTCACACGGCGGGCTGGGGAGCGCTCCAGCACTGGGGCCCACAGAGCTGCTCCCTCCTCCTCCTCCTCCTCCTCCTTCTCCTGCCCCATTCCTATCCCCATTCCCGCTCTCTGAACCCCAAAATTCCCTCCTAATCCCCACAAGGGGCAGGTTCAGCAGGGAGATTGAGGCAGAAAGGCCCCGCGCTCGTGCGTGCGCTCGCACATGAAAGAAAACACTTCCAGMGCCAAAGCGGAGGGGAAAAAAAAWAYAWAAWAWAAWAWAAAAAATMAAACCAAGCCGGGTTTTTGGAAGGCAGAGCAGCTCATGTAATCCCAGGTTCTGCCGGGATGGGGGGACGGGGCCGAGGGGAGACGACTGCAGTCTATTAAACTTCCTTTGAGAACCTGCCAGACTGACAGCAGCTGGAAGGAATTAACATTTCGGGTCCTGCAGCAGCTCCTCTCCTCGCTTTCACCCGTCCCCAAAATCCAGCTTGAGGCCAGAGGAGCAGCAGCAGCGTCATTTTTTCCCACTCTCAGCCGATTCCTTCACTCCCGGCCTTGCCAGAAGCGTGAGCAGCGGCTGAATGAAAAATCCAGCGCCGGTGCTGGCACCTCGCCCTGGGTTGGGACAGAGGGAGGTGACAGCGGCTCTGCGAGTGGCTCGGGGCCACCTGGCACCTCCGGGCCACTTGCCAAGGGACGGGAAATCACCCGGGGAGGGTTTGTTGCCGCTGTTTGCTGTCACTTCGCCGGGGTTTGTCCCCAACACCGCGGTGTTGCCACMTCCCCGGAGCTCGGCAGGATTTGGGGTGGCTCTGGAGCGTCTCCCCCAGCCCAAATCGCCCCCAAAATCCTCGCGTCTCGAGGATGTCTGAGCTCAGCCGAGGAGGAATTGGCAGATTTTGGGGRGTTTTGCTGCCAAAAGGCAACGTGCCTTGGAGCCGGGAGCCGAGCGGAGAGCGGAGATCCCGGAGCTCGGCTCCGCTACCAAGTTGGAGGAGGAAAATGCAGGAATTTTCCCGTTAACCCTCTCCTGGTGCTGCGGGGAGAGCGGGGAGCCGCTCGGGAACAGCCGGGATGGAGAGGGGAGAGCGATCCCAACGGGGAAAATCGGGATGAGCAGAACAGACGGAGCTGTGGAGGTGTGGATATTGGGATAAATAGGAATAAATCCAGGGATCTCATGGGATTTAGGGCCCCAAAAAAAGTGGAAGCCCAGGTGTGGATATTCCCATAAATCTAAATATCAATAGAAATAAATCC